TCTACTAAATTTCTGACTTCGATCATTCGAAAATAGAATAATTTTTTCAATGTTGATATCTTTCATATATGAAAAACTATTAACTTTAGAGATTAATACTTCAATTATAATATCAGGTCGGCCAAATCTCATCTTCAGTGTTTCCATGATCAAAGGAACATTTTCACTAGCAAGCATCATACCTGATACTGCCGATTTCGCCTCCCCTCTTAAACATTTTCTCAATTTGACCATAATTTCCTCATTGCTGAATGCACACATTTTGGATACACGTTCATATTGCTCCTGGAATAATGGCCATTCCTCAGGATTTCCATAAAATATCGGAAAATCTTCATCAATTATTTGCCTTGCTAATAAATTTTTCTGAAATGTGTCACCTGGATGAACTGTCTTCAATAAGTCACCGATTGTCTGACATAATAAATGTATTTCAGATGATGGATTATTTACTACCTTTTCCTGACTGATATTGCCCTCACCTGAATTCTCACCTGGATGGACAAAATCGATTATTCGCTCACCTGGACGTTCGACGTTGACTGGCATACCTGGACGTTCAACAATATTTGGCAAACCGAGCAGTCCTGCGTCGTTGGCAGCTATACTTGAACGATTTCCACTGTCTGGGTTATCTAGGTCATCACAGAAGTCTCGATGTTCCACTTGTGCTTGCGTACCTGGACGTTCAGCAGCATAGTACTGGATACTCTGACGTCTTCCTTCAACATATGCAGCTTCTTCTTGTCTTTGAAAATTGTCTTGTTGGTTCACCCATTCTTGTACTCTGGGTAAACCCTGGTCCCCAATAGACTCCGCTCGTTGACTCTGATTATTCTCTTCACGATCTAGGATTTCAGCTTCTTGTATTTCGTGCTCTAGCTGAAGCAATCGTAGCTGACTATTCAGTTTCACTTTTTCCATTTCAATCTCTTGGCGCCTCTTTTCTGTTTCATAGTTTAGTTTTTTCTGGAGGACTCTGGCACTAACATTGGATTTAGTACTCACAGCGGACTTAGTTCTTGTAGATTTGGCTTTGTTAGAGGTTTCCTTTCTGATGGTGGAATGGGTTTCATTTACTTGAGAGGCCACCGCACCAATACCTCTTCCAAATCTATCAGGCCATTCGAATTCCGCTGGTAAGCTTATTATTCCTGCTCCTATCCTTTTGTTTCGTTCACCAGCATCCATATCTTGGTTCATTTAACAGTCGAAGGACCACAATGTAACGGCTTGTTACAGACTTAATTGAATTACAATACTTTATCGCAAATCGTAACTTTATTATTCTGATATTTTTCTGACATATTACAATATTATTTTATTGACATCATCATTCTCAAATGTTTCCCCCGGTAAATCGAACATTCATAAAATATACAGGGGATAACGACAACAAGTATATACAGGGAATAAACGCCGGAACAATCAACTCCAAATAAGACGAAAACAAATAATGTACTTATTTCTTTCACATACGACTTTTTGTATTGCGGAATTTCTAATTGAACAAAATATAGTCTTTCATAAGACCGAAACATGTTCCTTCTGATTCTATAACAACACCATAAAAATTTCTGAAGAGGAATCCGAGCGTTCCTTCCTTCCTTCTGAAATACATATGGTATTTTTGAAATAGGTGCACATATCCAGCACAATAATATGATGCAATCTGAGGAATATTTCCATGATATCAGATTTTTTTATTCTCTTAATCAACAAGAAATTCCACTCCAAAAATTTAACAAAGTGGTGACGTAAGATGTGCTACAGTGTAGAGCTTTGGGTGGAAAAAGGGGTCTAACCTCAAATTTTATATTGTTCCCTAAATTTTTCATAAGTGCCATTCGATAGTGAACGTCGAGCTCTCACAGTGTTTGGAATATTCGAACTTGTTTCAATGTCACCCTGTTCATAAGTATTCAATTGTTGACTACACTATGAGAAACTATAGGAATTTCTACCAAATATGTTATATTTCTCTGTTTATGATTTTGGCTTATAGATTAAGAGCTTGTCAAACAGATAAAGTTCACATATCTTACTACTATCAAAAAACATACTAGTCCATATATTTTTCTGATCTCTTGACTGTTGAACTACATAGCCAACAAAGTTCAGTTTCCATCATCTTCTGGAGAAAAAACCCATATTGTTCGTTTTTTTCTCCATTTCTTGGAGGTAGGTACTTGAACCTTTTTCCAACTTTTGGAGATTAGGAGCTGTTGAAGATACTTCCTTCGACAGAGATAACCAAAGCTCTTTTGTTCGATAGACAAATAGTAGGAGAGCCAGCTGCGAATTCCGACCGGCATCTGATATCGAAATGTTATAATTTTTTTTCATTAGCACGTGAACACGTTTAATTATTCCGAACAGCAGCTTTACTAGTAACTTTCCTGAACAAGGAGATTGAAAAATTACACTCTTCTGCGAGATAATCTGCATTCAATCCTGCGTTTTGATATTGAGATGAAAATTTTGTCATTCGATACCAAATGGACGGTAGATCTCGAAAACTTACCTGTGTCACCGCTTGATCTGAGTCAAATTCGCCGTATACGTGTGTCATGTGATGACGAGTTGGAACAATAAAACGTCAATGAAAGGAGATAATGAGGGATCGTACAGGGAGAAGAGGGGTAAATTATTGCTCATGATCGAAAATCGAATTGAAATTTTTTCCTGGGACTTATATATGGGACTGCTTATCATAATACTAGCGTCTAGAAACTATATAAAGAATGTACATCCAATTTGTTGAATGTTTTGGGTATAGCTATCGTGGGGTCGGTATCCTGAACTTTAATCTACATTTTTGTTTTTCACATAAAAAAATTATTCGAGAATGAAATTATATTAGATGAAAAAAAAAATATTTTAAAGGAAAAATTATACGTCGTCCTCTCTATCATTATCTTCAGAGTCATCTTCGCTCTCGCTGTCTGGAGATGATTCTTCAGAGATGTCATCAGTACCTGTTCGTGAGAATATTATTTTGATGGGATATAATTCTTGAAAAATGTTGGCATGATCGGAAGATATACCTGATACCTTCTCAGTTGGAGTCTCAGAGATTATGATGTCACCAACCTCTGCTGGAAGGGCTTCACCAAGGTACTAATTGGAATCGTAGCCACCGTTCTTCAAAATCCATCCTCAATCGAGGGGCTCGAGATCTGTTGGTACTTTGAGATGAGCTCCGCTCCATAACTGAGCTACGAAAGTAGCACGCCTGAACTGCTGTTCCAACTCAGCCTCACAAGGCGGCAGCCGTGAAGAGTCGTACTTAAATATTTTTTCCAACAACTTTTCTGATGTTTTCTCCAGCTTATTAGTTGCAGAAAACACCAACAATCTGACCTCGTTAACGTTAATCTCGTTAACACTCTACCCGGCTGACGCAGCAAATCATTGTTCAGATATGGAAATTGTTTTGCAAAAAAGAAAATACTTCGAACCCGAAATTCCTATTTCTAGCACAATTTGAAAATTCGGCGCATGATCGCTATAAAAGTGCTGCATGTAAATGATATCGCTAGATGCTCGACTCGATAGTGAAATAAAATATAGTGTTCCAGTGAGAAAAAATCGAAAACTACCCCATAGCGTTGTGAACATCCTGTGAATTCCTCAATAACAATGAAAAAACTCTCAGTGGAACCATTTTGATTGGCTTTTGAAATTTCAATATCGGTTCAGGAACAACCAAGTTACAATGGGAGATATTTATGGTGAACCACCCTGTACGGAATGTACGGATTGTTTGCTTGCAAATCATCATCTCATATATACTGTGTGGTCCACTAACCATGGTGAAAATCTGAACATTTCTTCGATCATCGATTATTTGATGGATATCCAGTCAATTGATGTTCGAAAAAGTCGAGCTCCCCTCTCCGGAATCGTATGCAAATGTCGGGAAACTGATTAATGGGTCAGAATTCATTGTTTCGCCAAAGGGCATATATTCTCAGATCATCGACTATAACACTGGAAAATTGACACTTCCGGTTCGTATGCCGCCCTTGGGGAGTGACTTAGGCGTATGCAAACCGGCAAGCGCCCCAATTTTCGTGAGATAAGATTATTGCACTTCATTGCCGAGCTTCTCAAAAAAAAAAAATTTGAACTTTTTTTCAACCGGAACGTGAGGTCAGGGCCGTGGCAAGGACTAGGTTGCGACTCTTCGAGGCACTCCTTCCTGTTAACTTGGACTTAGTGAGTGCGGGTACCTTGAATGGCATACCGACTTAGAACATCGATAAACCCTGTGTCGCGGGCCAACAGTCTAATATTATATTTCTTTGTAGAATACAATTTCTTCTCTATTGATTCTCATTTGTATGATAAACTGGAATTTGAACAAAATACCAATACCTACTGACTGTTACATTGGAAATTTCGTATGGACATTTTCAAACTCACTATCGCAGCTTCTCTCGATAGTTCATTGCGATAATTGCAACCAAAAATCAAAAATTTCAAAAATCAAAATGCTTTCATCTGCATTTATCAAAACCATATCTACCAAGTAGCAACAGTGACAACAACGATGTGATACTTCGCGGCCTAGTCCGGGAACTACATACTTCCCCAGCTACACCGGAAAAATGCTACTTCCTCAAAGAAAAAGCGTCTGGGAAGTGAGCACTTTTTGAACGGTTGCCAAAAAACAATATTTTCGCATTGAATGAAAATTCGAGTTCTTGTGCAATAGCTCTCATGATGAAACATCAAAAACGATTATAGAGATATACTGATTTGCCATCCAGATATCCTCGCTTCACTCTCTCTCTAGTATCTGAATCTGTCGATATCATGAATATTATATTGATGGGGAATTTGATATCAAGGCTGATATTCTATTCGAACTGATTTATTTTCATTGTTCTATTTCTTTGATCACCCAAAAGTTGGGATATTTCAAAAAATGAGTCCAAACTTATATACCTAGCATTATTTATCCGCTGCACATTTTTGATACCAATATTTTTCAGCAATATGCAGGCCAAATCCGAAAGTGATACGCATTTGTACAGGAGCAGAAATGAAGAAGATGTGCGCACCAAAACCTTGTGTCTGCCCTAAAGGTCGGAGGCCATCTAAAGGTACTATACTTATTATGTTGAAAAGCTTTCATTTACTTGAATCATCTACATCTGTGAAAGCTCTAGTCCAGAACTATATCAAGTGCAGATCATCGTTTATATTATTTAACATCCACTTTTCACCTAATGAGAGGTCGAAGTACGCACGGCTTTTCATCATCATGTAAGAACCATACCATTCAGAACTAGGGATTTGATCATACATTTTTCCCGATGTTCATTGAATCCTCTGCCATCGTGGAAGATACCAGATGGCGTTAGCCGAGAGCAATCACGTTCTGAAAACGAAAATCACATTCCACACACGTGATAAATACTGGTAAATAGCGAAACTAATGACTGTTCTGAATTTCAATATCTTCAAATTTTTCTCATGATCAAATTATTGGAGTGGAAAGTATCTATATAGGCACTATCTGTATGTCACAAAAATGACACAAAATCTCTCGATGTCAATTCAATGTGTTTGATTGTTTATAACGATGGAAGAAAATCAGTTACGGTCAGTGTCTGTTTTCGAGAATGGTACACCTTTTATTTTGATCAAATATTTTGGAAACTGCACTATTTGGAAAATACTTCACTCTCACATTTACCATTCCCTTCGAGTGCATTTTCAAGGAGTCCTTTTCCCAAGCCACTCTCTGAATACTCAACAGTTTTTCAACTAGTCCAGTCGAGAGACTAACCTCCATTCACTTATGTTATAAATATATTTTGCTACCTAAGTTTTATTCATATGTTATTGTCTCAATTCATTGGATACCTGTTGCATTCTGAAGATTCATTTGATCTGAATGTTCCTTCACATGATGTGAAAAAGTAGTACCCAAACAGACATTTGTATTGAGTGTGGAGCAAAATATATGCTGCTTCAAGCAGCAGAATTTCTTATCCAGGCCTCAAGATATGGAAGAAAATTATGGGAGAAAAAAAAAAGTTGCATTTCGAATTGTTTCGCCTCAAGTACTTAAGCGTTAAATTGGCAGGATAACAATATCTCAAATCAATTACTGAATAATTAATAATTCTTTTGAAGCCAATCACATCAAGGCACTGTTTCGAAAAATACGATATCACCTTATCACCGAAATACTCAACTCAAGTATTCATATAGCTCTCAACTTTTTCAAGAATACATTGAGTCAAATAAATGCAAAAAGCTCAAAGTCATTTCCACACAGTGTTCATAAACTGAACAACAATGGTAGATTTCGGGAGAAAAACAACTACTTCCCTGGCTAATGCCACGCAGGATATTGAATTACATCCTCTCGAAATCTATGCATCGACTCGTATAAACGAATACTGATACAAGTGATTCTTTCCTGAATGCCTATTGATTTCGATTAAGCAGGCCGCTAGACAACCACAGACCGGTTTCGAGCTCTTTGACTCTCATCAGTGCAGTGTAGTCTCCAGCCAGCAGTCCTAAGACCGCCGACTCAGCGAAGGCTAGCCAAACAAGAATCAATTTGGCATTTTCTCCACCCCGAGGCGTCTTTCATCGACAAAATGAAAGTAACGCCATCTGAGTAGAACAGAGGAAAGAATCACTCCAAAACTGAAATTCCCATACGGGAGTGGCTGGTTGCCCGACTGGCGTAATTTCAACTACGAAATAGCCACAATAATGCTCAAAGTGGAATGATATGTTAAATAAATGCAAAAAGCTCAAAGTCATTTCCACACAGTGTTCATAAACTGAACAACAATGGTAGATTTCGGGAGAAAAACAACTACTTCCCTGGCTAATGCCACGCAGGATATTGAATTACATCCTCCCGAAATCTATGCATCGACTCGTATAAACGAATACTGATACAAGTGATTCTTTCCTGAATGCCTATTGATTTCGATTAAGCAGGCCGCTAGACAACCACAGACCGGTTTCGAGCTCTTTGACTCTCATCAGTTCAGTGTAGTCTCCAGCCAGCAGTCCTAGACCGCCGACTCAGCTGAGTCGGCGGTCTAGGACGGGGATGGATAAAATGCCAAATTGATTTTTGTTTGGCTAGGCTTCGCTGAATCGGCGGTCTTAGGACTGCTGGCTGGAGACTACACTGCACTGATGAGAGTCAAAGAGCTCGAAACCGGTCTGTGGTTGTCTAGCGGCCTGCTTAATCGAAATCAATAGGCATCCAGGAAAGAATCACTTGTATCAGTATTCGTTTATACGAGTCGATGCATAGATTTCGAAAGGATGTAATTCAATATCCTGCGTGGCATTAGCCAGGGAAGTAGTTGTTTTTCTCCCGAAATCTACCATTGTTGTTCAGTTTATGAACACTGTGTGGAAATGAATTTGAGGTTTTTGCATTTATTTAATATATCATTCCACTTTGAGCATTGTGGCTATTTCGTAGTTGATACATTGAGTCATTTACTCTTCCAATTTGGTACAATGCTTTCAATAGTTTGAATAATATCGTCCTAAGGCTTGTTAACTCCATTCAAATACAATGAATTATACAAGGATTATATAATTCCACATCAGAGTACTGCGCTCAGTGTACTATTCAATCCTAATAAAATTGAATGATTCTTCCGAAAATGTCATATAGAAATGAGAGACTTCGCCCCAAGTTACCTACCACTGTGAAAACAATATTTTGGGAGTTTGTTTACTTAAATAGTTATATTCTGATTTACTTATTCAGAAGAGAAATAAGTTCTCGTGAACTCACTTCTGTTTATTAGGCAATTATGATGATGCAACCCAAGGTTATTATTCATCAAAACTGACAGTTGTGATGAGTATCACAATTATATTAAGGAAGGTGACCTTCTTATAACAATATTTAATTAATTATATTCTCGAAGTTTTTTATCGTCAAGGAAAAACGGGAAAAATCTCGCAACAAAATATATATACAAGATGTTATTACAACACTGTTACGGCATAACCTTGATCTCGAATTCTTGAAATCATTTCCATGATATCAAATGAGAGCAAAACAGGATAGCCAACCTAGAAATATATCAGGCCTTCAGAATTGCGTTCAGATAATTTGCTGAACTTGTCCTGTTTTCATGACCTTCTCTGTTCATAATGCGCGATGGACAGAGATGACAATGAAGGAAATCAACTTCAGCAAGCTCAGCAGACCATATTAACCAACTTATTATGTTATTCGAATAGATTTCTTCCGTTTTGGAAGCTATATCTGTATCAATATATTCAGATTCGATTTACTGATGTCTGATCTTCAAGTTCAGAAATTGAGCAAAAGGTCATATAACCAATCTCGCACTTATATTATCATCATCCGTTCACATTTTCTACCAGATATTTTTTGAAAACTTTTGGGTATACGACTTCTTTTACCATCAACTCCTAAAATCATCACAAAATTATAACCAGTTTTGAGTTTATTTATCAGAAGTTTTGTTGGTAAGAGTGCGTCCTCTTACCTCACCTCACCCCTGTACCCCGAGCAGTCATAAAACTGGTATATGCTGTAACCCTGTCAGTATAAATATTCCGAGTGGCACAGGAGACAATATATGTAACAGCCAGTGGTTTTCTTATTTGAAGAGATGCAAATTTGCGATTAACAGAGGTTATGTAATCCATGATGGCTCCCAATGACAATTTTATTCAACCACCTGTTTGATCGCAATTAGACCCAACTTTTTTTCAAATGTCATCCTGTATATTTCTGTAGCCATTCTTATTCGCCTCAAAATTCTCTATCAACCATCTGTTGAGGAAAATTGCCATTGGGTTCGAGGGAAGCGCCATCATCGAAAATATAACCCTCGTCAATTTCGAATTCTTTTCTCTCCAGATAAAAAACTACAGGCTGTAACATGTCACTGTGTCACCCGGTATATCGTGGAGAGCCAACTGCATATTTCTACCGTCGTCTAATAACGGAATGGTTATTGTTCCAAAGGCATGTAAGAACATTGTTTTCAATAGAGAATGATGGATATAGTTATTTTCCTAACGAGTGCGCAAAGTATTACTTTTTCGCACGCAAATACAGTTAGGCGAACGACGCAGAGAGGAGTTCGAAAAAGTTTTTGCGTGCGGAAAAGACACTTTGCGCACGTGTTAGACACAACGCTTTTCCTACGAGCTTCATATCAGATAACAACGAAAATAAAAAAAATCAACTAAAATTACAATTTATTGATTATTTTTAGTTAAACTTGATTGAAATAGCTAAACAACAAACAATTGAATATCAATAGAATATAATGATGTAAAATCAGATCATTTGTTCCTAATATTTATATTGAGGTGAAATACGAATATATAGGGAAGGAAGGTTAAAAAGTAAAAGGGATAACGGCTTCTTATAGTGCATAGAATAGTCCACAGCAACTAAAGTGAATATGAATATTCCATACCATTGACATTTTTGGGTAGTATTACTTATCCGCACGTCGTGCGAATAACACCCATATCCGCACTGAGTGCGGAAAAGTATTACTTTGCGCACGCAAATGAGTGCGAAAAAGTACTACTTTGCGCACGCTCGTAGGAGAAAACACTCTCCTAAGCGTTAGTTTGCACTCAATTCCGCGGTTTGATAACAAGATAAGATTATGGCATCCGATATTGATTGAAGGGCATCCGATATTGATTGAATGGTAGATCTCAAAATCCTACCTGTGCCACCCCTTAATCAGCGATTTATTTGCCAACCTCATTACGGACATAGTTTCGTCATCTGATAACGAGTCGTAACAGGAAGCAAATGGAAAATGATTATGTCCCCTTCGCAAAAATCCAAACTGAGCTGAGTTAGAGCGTCAATATTTTCGAGAATATCAGATTATATGCGATGAACCAGTGTGAAACTCGAGAAGTATTCAATTCCACATGATGGGTTTGACACTGGTACATCGGATATCAGTTTTCGAGAAGTACGAAATATTTTGGGAAATATTGATAGGTACATTGTCACTAACTCAGCTCATTTTGAATCGCAGCACGTTCGCATATTCGCAAGGGGCACATTATTTTCTTCAATTTGCTTTCTGTTTCAACTAGTTACCACATGACGAAAGTATGTCTGGATTCAAGGCAGCAGATGAAACAGTGTGTCGTGAATTTCACTCAGATCAAGGAGTGGCATAGTAAGGTTTTTGAGATCTATCATTCAATGGGTATCGGATGGCATAATTCGCATCACGCTATCGAATCGCGAAAGAAAAGTGCAATTTATTTCGCTCAGGATAGTCATTGGGCACTGATGCCGCTTGATGAAGAACAATTTTGACATTGCTTTGGGACTTATACACGTGTCATTATCACATGACTGTTGGAATAAGCGGCCGGCTCTTGGACATACTCGATCCAGACATGATTTCGCGAGAATGAAATTGTGAAAGTTGAAGGCATAACTGTTATGTATAGAAACGGAGAAACCACAGTCGAGACCTACTATAGGTAAATGAAAACACTATCATATCATGTGATAAGCATTTTTCAAGTAAAAAAGTAACTATAATTAACTAAAATCATTCAATAAATGATTTTATGATTTCGATGGCTCACCTTGGATAGTAACAGGTCTGAGTTTTTGATAATTTATATCACAAATGTCTGGACACAGCAATATAAATATGGATATATCTTCATTTGAATATGCATATTTAAGAAATACTAAGAGAAGATGAAATGACAAGTTCATTATAAAACATCACGATTTTCATTATACAGGGTGTCCGCTAAAAGGAAATCAATCCATTAACCACATATTCCTTGAACAAAAACAATATGAGTTTCTAAATATCATTTTTCATTTTAGCCCTTTATATTCGGTATACAGGGTGTCAAAGTTGGAAATTAAAAACTGTTTTTTTCTAATTACTCGCGTATTTGATAAGATATTAATCTCAAAATTGGTACATTACTTCAGCACAAAGAGTTACATCGTGTGAGGAAAACAAAACAGAAAATAACTGTCAAATATTCAAGATACTGGGGATCAAGTTCACACTTACCCCCATATTTTGTTTGTACGTACGCTAATGACTTTCTATCTATTTTTCTTCAAGTGTTCAATCATTTTTGAGTATTTCTTGTGTCTTGTAAAATTTCGATTGAATCATTTGTTTTTAAGATAATTCGAAAAGTACTGGTTATTGTTTGATGCCTATGCGGCTTAGGTAATCTCATAATGTTCACATACTCCTATTTATTTCGTCGAAATTGAAAGAGGGCGTATCTTTTTACGTACGAAAAGGTGAATATGGAAATACCAGGTGCTCGGAGCAAATGTACTAAAATAATTTTTACAAAAAAAAAATATTTTGAAAGTGTAAAAATTATTTTAATACATTCGCTCTGAGCACCCGGTATTTCCATATTCACCTTTCCGTACGTAATAAGATACGCCCTCTTCCAATTTCGACGAAATAAATAGGAGTTTGTGGACATTATGAGATTACCGTAAGCCGCAAGGCATCAAACAATAACCAGTACTTTTCGAATTATCTCAAAAACAAATAATTTTATCGGAATTTTACAAAAATCAAAAAATACTCAAAAATGATTGAACACATGAAGAAAAATAGATAGGAAGTCATTAGCGCACGTACAAAAAAAAATGGGGGTATGTGTGTACTTGACCCCCAGTATTTTGAATATTTGACAGTTATTTTCTGTTTTGTTCTCCTCACACGATGTAACTCTTTGTGCTGAAGTAATGTACCTATTTTGAGATTGATATCTTATCAATTACGCGAGTAATTAGAAAAAAACAGTTTTTAATTTTCAACTTTGACACCCTGTATATCGAATAAGAAGGGCTAAAATGAAAAATGGTATTTAGAAACTCATATAATTTTTGTTCAAGGAATATATGGTTAATGGATTGACCTCCTTTTAGCGGACACCCTGTATATGATGATATAGTAGTTTCTGATGATACTCCATGTTATGATTACCATCACAAAGAGTTCTTGTCAAGTCAAGAATATCCCCAACAGACAAGATAACTTCGGTACCCTCACATCCAGTTCAGTATATAGAGATCTGCAAGTTTCCCATATGTGAACTCCTTATTGATCGAAGGTGATTTGAAGTCACTGGTTGAATTTTTCGTCAAATTTTTAACCACTGGTACATTGGTATACCTACCATTCGCTACTCGTGATTCTATTGAAAGTATTGACTCATGTATTGGCGTAATGCAGATGCACCAACATGATTTTCAACTAATCAGATGTTATGTTTATACACACTTACTTTTCGTCTGAATTACTAACTCTCTCAATCGAATTTTGTGAAGATGAAGCCATTTGTGTTATCAAACTTTCATAATATTGTTTCTGCAGTGATAGAACTTTTCAAGTTGACAACTTGAAGAAAAGTCTCCTATTGTGATGATTTTAATTAATGATATGTTATCACATCGCCAAATGGTCATAATTCTCATCAATATCTATCAATATCGATTCTTCATTCCTCTATTTTAGAAAACAACTGAAACTCATATAGTGGCAATTCTCAAATACGGCCACATCTACTGGACCTCACCCAACAACAACAACAACAACATTCCATTGGGATATTCAGTGGTACTATGATGACATACAGAAAGTGCTTAAGCAATAATTGGACCTCCTTGTGGAGGCTACTTGGTATTTCCTGAAGATGTTAACAGGTCCTTGTTCATTTTTCACCGATATAGTTGTTGACATTACACGGCCGATATTTAGCAAATAATGGATGAGGTTGAATATTGTTATCCGAGGCGCAGCCAATGATGATACCAAACGAGTCTGTTATACTTGCGTATCGTGTATCGTTCAAGACTTTCCGTAATTCTGATGAGGGATCACATTTTGATTTCGAGGAAAGAATTTTTACGTTCCTCGTAATTCTGAAGGAAAATCTAAACATCATGTAGTTATAGAACAGTTAACGGCCGCCGGCTACTAAACAATCTCAACGGACGTAGGCTGTTAATATTAGCTTCTCATTTGTCATCTTTATACCGTTTTATCAGCACAACAGTATGGAAAAAAAGATTTAACTGTCTGTTGGTATACGCCGTGATTCACTGTCATTATGTTATTTCTAATTTCTCTATCTATCAGTTTGTATGAGGCATGTTCAATAGGAGACTGAAACAGAAAATCTCAAAACATATCGGTTGATGAGAATCCAAACATTGTTGGTACCTTGTAGTCCTAGTACTCTAAAACTAATTGACGTATCAACGTTATGTTTAGCGGGAAGGTTGGACGCACTATACACCTTACCAAATTATGTTAAATGAACGTTCCTGGTCCTACTAGAGGCCTACGCAAGGAGCAAGAGGCTGGTTGATCCTTCCAATATTCTACGCGACTGACGGAATTTCCATTTTATTGAAATTTTTTCATACTTCCATACTCTCAATATGAATTTCGTACTCCTTCTCCAAAGCGATGAAGTCATTATTTTTGATATTTTCAAATGTAAACATGAAGCTGCACAATTTTTCTGATACTGATTTATAAGTTAGTATAATTATTTCGATGTTTCAGATCATCGAAGGAAAATCTTGAATTTCTACACATCTGAGTGATAAATATTTTCATAATCTCCATATTTTTAGCTCAGGATGTGATAGCTTTGGATTTGATTGGCACAGTAGATTTCGAATGAGCGAACAGTCTAATGATACATTATCATTTCGAGAACATGAATTCATAAAAATAAATAAATAATCTATACTCATATAAATGAAAATTTTTGATATAATCATTATAGGTCTACTTGGACTACTAGTATTCGGCATGAAAACAGCCCTCGCCGCTGCAGCTGTTTATGTGAGTTACGACTTAGGTATATGGGGAAGCACAGATGATACTCAGGAGTTGTACAGGATGTACTGCAGGATGAAAAATGAACCTAACAGGAAAAATACAGGAAAGTGGGATCCTCCATCATGTGAAGCAGAGAGGGATTTATTTAGGGTGAGTTGAGGTGAAAAAACACCGCGAAAATGATTTCATTTCAATAAAATGAGCTCATGAAGTGATTTATACCAGGTGTCACTGAAATTTCCACACTAAATCATTCAACAGACTACTGAGGCAAAAGTAAGATGGTTGAACCATACATAGAAAACGCTCTGTTATAGCTGTTACGGTGAATTGAAAACGAATCCAGATTCTCATTTTCACCGTATATTCCAATATTGCCACAGATATCGCTCTGAAATTAGGTGGACATACTGAAAAAATGACATATTAGGAGAAGTTGATTGAACTATCTCGATTGGATTAGATGCAACTCAAAATATCCATGTTGATAAAACTCCGATTTCGATGTTGGTTACCTGTTATCAAGATGCATGTGATGTGTGGGCATGAATCAATATCAATTTCATTTTGGATTCAACTATTGTGCAATAACTGACCTCAATGATCTGAAACACCGTCAGAATGAGATGCCAGATCTACAAAATGATCTTTTTTCATAACTTCTCGGATATAATATGTGCTATGTGTTGCCACTATTAGAATATAAAATTCGCTATATGCTTCTATGACTGGCTGCCACCCTCGCACGATTTGACACCAATTGAGTATTTCTCATGGGAAACAGTGGAGTTTGAGGTGTACTCAATCAGACCAGTAAGAACTAAACGGGGATCATGCGGACGGATTCAGAACGCTTGGAAAATTTCTAAGAGTGATGCAATAATAATGCAAAATGTAAATTCTGTACGTCGCACTGAACTTTGCATACAAGAAAACAGTTGCCAAATTGTACACTTTTTGTGAGTGCATTGCGCGACCTATTTTCGAATTTGTCATTATGTCAAATATATATTATTTATCATATCACATCACAAACTTTGGGTTTCTTCCATACTTTACTTTTGGAGTAATATTGTGGAAAGATGCGATATTATATCAATATTTGAATATTCCTCAAGTATACATCGAATTGAATTTGGACGATTAACTTGCGAACCAATAAAAATATCACAAACTTCGGAGGAAGTTGAAAGTAAGGTATTGACGTAGAGAGTATAAAAACAGTAATGGAATATGTTCAGTGACGTACTCATAAAAAGTTCTATCAATTGAATCAACAATACCCACCTACTCCAGATAATGACATCCTGTATTTCAATCCAGATGATATAGGACCTGTTTCATGCATCATCATCTCTTTTGTGTGCCTACACAATTCTATCAGAACGATATCTCTAGACAATATCGAAATATATAGGAAAATAACATATACAGGGTGAGTCAGAATAAGACCGACAAACTTCATACATAGATTCCTCACCTCATTTTCAGATGGAAAGTTTCAATCACTGTATGTCCATAGAAGCATCCTCACTGAGATACGGGTGTCGAAAGTACGAAATAAAAGTTAAGATTTTTTTGAATTCCTCCAGACCCCTGTAGCAACAAATATGAAACTTGATATACCGATCCAAATCATTCAGGGTAGCCACATAGAGTTTTCATTTCTCAATTTTCTCAACCAGTGGCTTACTTAGGGTCGTATATCGCCACATTTTCCTTCATATTTTTCTATAGACAGATCAACTGTCAAATTGGTGTACGACATCAGTTGATCTTATGAGTACCTATCCTAGAAGTCAGAACATTCTTCTTGCCTTAGTGCACAGGTTCTCAAGATATTCGCAAAAAACTATAGTTATTTGTTTAACTAGGCAGCAAAGTAGTAGATTGACTGCCGTGGCTGAATTCATAGCCGAGCGTAGCGAGGCTAGGAATCCAGCTAAGGCAGTCAATCTATTTTGCTGCCGAGTTGAACATATAATTTTTTCTCCGATTGTTCATAATGATATGGGAGAATATTGTATTTGCGAATTAATACAATTCCCACAATCTCTTTATTCTTCCTGTATAGTGTTCAATTAAAATAAAATTTGATAGAAATCGCAGTTGTTGGTTTGAAATGGAATCATGGAATTTCTGACAGTTGTGCGAGAAAATATCGGTATATTTAAATTATTATATAATGGACAGTGATAGCGACCTGGAAGTATACTTACACCTCCATTAATAAGGGAGGTGGCAAAAAATATAGAATTAAATTTGTTGCCGGAGAAGTCTCGGATGAAATATGATGGAAATTATAAACGATTTATGAATTTTTAATTTTGCTGATACACATCAATCAGCAAAGTAACCACTTTGCTGCCTAGGCAGGGGAAGTAATACTTTGCTGATTGATATGTGTCAGCAAAATTAATATTCGCTGCCAATCGGAGGAAAAATATATGTCTCTGGGTTGAGACCTAATTCGCTGCGTGCCATTATCGCATAATGCTGGACTTCTACTATTAGACATATTGGAAACGTTATCATGATTTCCCTCAATGGGCGTGTACACCTTAGTAGAACATTCAACTCAAACCATGTTTATAATGATCCTTTTATACATAAATAATGATTGACGGCATAATTCGATCGAAAAATTAACTGGAATATTTTATTTTTGGACATTAATAATTGTACCATCTAAAAACGGACCCTCTTATGACGTAGAAACTTCATATCGCCATAGTTGAAAGAAAGTAACAGAAGCCCGATGGGGACTGAGGCAACTGATATACTAATTCTTTCAACTGTGATATCGCGCTAATTCACTCTGTCAGGAATCATATCGCATTCATCTCTGTCTGGAATAGTCTTGTTTCAGTATTAGGGATTTGACGTCACATCATCGCCTCGTTTTCAGAGGTCCGAAAAATCGGGAATTTCAAAAAGAAACAGCAAGAAACGGTTTGCGGTGGTGATCTAGTTTCGGTGAACTCTATCGAATTATGGAATAAAAATTCTTTGTGATATATGCCCATTGAAAACTTTTGTTCAGATAGTTTGATAGTTCTGACAAATTTAAGACGGCTAACGACTATCAACCTCGAATTGGTCGATTAACTTCTGACTTACCCACACAATGTTGAAAATTTTCTTGACATCCACAAATATTCCGGAGATTGAGATGTAATATCGATATCTCGTATAATATCAGCAATATGATACGCAGCAAATTAGGCGTCTACTAAATATCACCCCGAGACATGTTTTAAGTTTTTCGATAATATCTCCGAAAACTCTGCATTTAGGCATGCAGAATGTCATTACTCTCAGGTTGAGTTTTGATAATCCTAACTGATGTCATTTACTAATTTTATAATTCCCCTGTCTGAGAAAAATTTTGAAGGATAATGTGTCGATATACTACCCTCACTACGTCACTGGTTGACAAAATCTCGAGATAAAAAGTCCCTGTTATTCCTCTGATTGATCTGGATTGGTATACCAAGTGTGAATTTTTTTGCAACAAAATGAGGTGAGGAATCTGTGAACTAAGTTAGCCGGTCCTATTCTGACTCACCCTGTATATACAAATTTTATTCCGCCTTTCAGCAGCTGACCAGAGCAGTTCGTGTAATTGATAAGTTTGCTTCAATTACCCTAATTTGGTTTTACAAGTCATTTTTTATTCCGTTACTCAAGTTGTCATAATCTAATGCTAATTCAGGTTCTATTGCAATAATTATTTTCCATAAGTCACAGGAAATGGACAGAAATGATATGAGATTTTACATGTTCCTTCAATGAGAAATTCCGGTGGAGATACTAACTTTTATAATAATCGTCACATTTTTTCAGATTTCTCCATTCAATCCTTATGGCCAATGCGATGACCCACCATTCGATCATGAAAGAAACGCATACAATTTCCAAAATAATTGGAATCATGCGGTAGCATATGTTTTTGCTGGTATTGCAGGATTACCTTATAACATTATCGAAAAATTCACTAAAGAAAAGCCCGATGGTGATTCAGTGAAGAAAAACGTATGTGTTCCGTTTGAAGATCTACCTGAAAATGAGAGAATAATCAATAGATATAAATAATGAATGAGTAGTAATATACCTATACAAAATAACTTCTGTTGTTTTCAAATTATATCATTCTCAACACGTCGCAATACCTTGAAATTTTTTTGCCTCGAGACGATTCAGGGATGAAAAGATATACACTGAGTGCCTTTTTTCAGTACAATACAGGCTGATTTTAAAATAAGTGCATATATTTTAAACACTAAGAAAGCTTGAGGTATACTACCGAATAGCACTATTAAAAATATTATTAGGATCAAAATAGATTTGGGGCAAAATACCCTTTTTCCGCCCAGATTTCTACTTCTGTCACAACTATCGTTTGCGATCCGCAGTCGACCGTGATGAACGAAGCGACGTTGCCACTCTACATGAAAATTAGGAGATATCAAATGAAATGTATAATCGAGAAAATGTACATGGGGAAGGAGTTAACCCTGGTCTTGAATTTCAGAAAGATAATACAAAAACTTTAAAATGGACTCACCCGAGATTTCTACACGTAAGCTCGAATAGCGTATAACTTAACACCTCACGGTTGGAAGTTTTTTCATTGAAAAATCCTTTAGACCCTTCCTTCCACCTCCTTGCATCGGTACAATTTCGTGTCCTTCATTGGCCCCGCACAATAACGACCCGACATTAGAACCATATCATTCATCTCAATGTTTGAGAAACGCATCGTCACAATCGTCACATTCCAAGCAAATTGTCAGAAACAAAACTTTACATTTACTAGTCAGTGTTGTTCCTGGGTCTGACTTTTTCGTAATAGATTTCCTTGGAAAAAGGTATCAGATTTGTATCAAAAGGTAATAGACTCGAAAAATCTGACATTTGACATTCGGAATGTCATTCTTGTCAAACCCTATCGCACTAATCACAGTTTTGACATAAATATAGAACATATAACGGAACATAATTATCCGCTGAGCACAGAAATAGATTTTTTAGTATTGGAACATATTTTGGTGCTAATAGCAAATAGTAATAGATTCATGACAAATTATAATATCGTAACAATCTTCGTGGAATAGTAATAGAACGCGAACAATCCTAGTTAGTACTGTCAAAGGTCACAGCAAAGAGGAAATCTATGGTCACAGATACTACTGTTCTGAGAAATGATGTTGACAGATCATATGATAATAGGTTTGTTTGTGTGGTTGCTGGTTTGTAAAATAATTGTAAACGTAAAATAAAAAATAAAATGATTGGATGTGTCGTGATAATCGTGATATGGTCGTATCGTGATTTTCAATGTGAGATTGCCAGGAAGGATATGTCGTCGTCGATTCGTTTTCGATGGTTTGAGTGCGAATATGAACCAACAAGAACACAGGACGATATTAGTCTGGAATGGACTCGATATTAGTATTTGTTTGCTCTCGGGAGTTTTGCTGTTCGAGGTATGAGAAAATCTACTAGGTGAGTCGATTTTCAACTTTGTGAATGTTGTGTACCTATTTATTGTCTGCTAATTTTGTATCTACCCGCTGGGGCCTTATTTTCGAATTGAAGGAAGGCGGACGTTCTATCATTCCCCTCATGTTTCTCTCCGTCTCTCGTGATCCATGGAGATAATCACCCCACAGTTCTCTCAGTGAACTTTAAAAAATGAGGCTTCTGTACATATTACATTCACCTCTATTAGTTTCCATAACCTATTCCAATTCATATTCATTCTGTGACAAATTTTTATCAGGATATTCGTCTCTGAAACAATCTGGCATCACTGTCTTGATTTGACGTTATTGAATGACGAATTGGGGATTCCTTGGGATTCCGCAGATTTCACTTGCTTCCCAGTGGCGTACTCGAATTTCGAAGCACTTTATGTTCAATTTTCAAAATGAAATTTCTCGTTAATGTGAAGACTTAGGAAAAATCAAATATTTTAGTAATTTTTGTTAGACTCTCTCTCTTGAATATATGCACTCATTTTGAAATCACCCTGTATTGATCGTTTTCAATTCGAATCTCATCTAGTGGAAATGATTTGTTTGATATTCTGCTTTCGAATATCAACTTCTGATGATGTTCAATTCACATGACAAGTTTCTCACATTGATAGTGATGCTACACCCACAAGATTTTCGGCGACATATAATTTCTCTATACATACTTATATGAGCAATGTCTCCAGTAGTAGTTCTTGACTGGGCATTGGCCCTATATTAGCCCAATATTCTTGACAGCGAGACAGTATGTAGCAAATTCCTGAATGAAATTCGTGCTACTGGAAGTTTCTTGAAAAAATTGTCAATATTTTCTTGAGGCAAACTCAACAAGCCCAGTGAGGACATCTCTTTGTAATCACACTGGAAATACATCGAACAACTTTCTACCAAAACTCATATCTCCATGAAACAACATTACTTCGTAATTTTCTGTCTGGAAAATTATACGTGTTGCATAACGAACTAACGAGTTACAGGGGAAGATTGAAGGTGAGTAGACTCACAAGAGTGGACTGTATCGTTGTGTATGATGGACCTGGATGTTCTCGTCCGATATAGAGCGGTAGGCCTACCTTTCAGCTCCTGTTTCCTCGAATGTTTATTTTGATGGTTTCATCACTGGACATCGATTGATACACGCAAAAATGAAGAGCGAAAGTAACTAGTGTTCTGCCAGAACCACACAAAAGATGCCGGTCACTCGTCTCTCGATGAGTAAATCCTCTCTTTCGTATATGAATATATTGTTTATCTGTGCTTTATGGGTTGCTTATGGTGTGGTACCAATAATGCGCGTATTTATACCGGGTGACACAGGAGACATGTAACAGACTGTAGTTTTTTCATTCGAAGAGAAAAAAAATTGAAATTCACAAGGTTTATAGAATCGATGATGGTGTTGCGCTGCCTTGAACCCAATGACAATCTTCCTTAACCACCTGTTTGATTGGAACTGGACCTGGCATTTTTCTTCAAATGGCACCCAGTATATTTTTCCAGCCTATCGTATTCGCCTTCATATTCTCTATACAAATATATATCAAAATTTGATATTTGTTCATCAATTGACTGTTAAATTGTGACCCGAATACAATGACAATTCGATGCTTGATATAGGCTCAGAAATCCAAAGATCTCACTATCATCCATTCACGTCTTGTATAGCTCTACAGCTCAGGAGATTGGGACTGGCTTCACATGTTTTGCTTCGAGTTTCTTCGGCATAGAATATGGTTTTACACATACCTCACTCTTTGAGGGAATCATTAACTTCAGAACCTGGTTCCAACATAAACTGTTCTATACCTGTTGCCTTGAAACAATTAGCCTACCATCGCTGGCCCCAAAACCCTAACCTCGTGACTAGAGTAGAATTTGTTGAAGCCAGAAAAAGCAGCAGCCAGAAAATAGATGCATCGAGAAATTTTTTGGATGCCAGAATGAGATCAAAGCTCATAAATTGACTCAATGGCTTCTATTTGTTTTGGTTCCTCGCTGAAGCAGTCGAAAGGAATGTCACTGATAGTTCATTTCCGCCCCTCTCTAAAGCTGACAGCACATCAGAATTAACATCGGGAAGGCAAGCAAACATTTTTGCAGTGATGTTCAAAGCATACTCCACCTCGAATTGGAATAGTACCGCTAGACAAACCACTTGTTGAAAGTCGTATGCCCAGAATTGCTTTCCGCCAACGTACTATAAATAGCATTCTGCTTGGTCTCACAACTAATGGGGCTAAGGTTCCTGATGAAATTCTACCTATTTCTCTCTGAAGTGTGTATCATATTTGACACCCATTCCCTGCAAGCTATTTATCAGCCCGTACAAGTCAGATATTCTTTCAACTTGGTGGAAGATAGCTGGAGTCCAACCAATCTCTAGAGAAGGTTAGAAAGTAATGCCTAATAACTGAAGGTCAATTTTTCGTTTACTCATCTCAAAAGAGATGAAATTCATCAACATTCACCTCATCAAATATCCGGAAAGCTTGACATGCAATATAGCTTTCGCCACCAGTGATCAACTGGCGATTCACTCGCTCACGTCACCCATATATGGCAAGTTTCAAAGTATGGAAAACGAGTGGAATATCTAGCTGTGGTGTTGGATATATCAAAGGCATTCGACTGAGTTTGGAACCAAGGAATCCTCCACAAACTACCATCATACGGCTTTCCACCTCAGCTATGATATCTTTTATCGAGTTTCCTCTTGGGAAGATCGGTTCTTGTGGTGGACGATGTATACCTGATACCATGGCTTTCATCTCTGGCTTTCTACAAGAATCGATTTTGGCACCAACCCATTTTTGTACCTTTTATCCGTGATTTATTGGCAGCAACCAATTAGCCCTATCCACAGCTTTGCAGACGGAAGTATTTTCCATACAGCGTTTTTTTCTAGAATCCTCATCGCTTCCCAGAAAACTCAAAACTCATGACAGCAGACCAACGCTGTCATTGACGATCTTGCTGATATAACAGCCTAACAAACCAACAACCTTGTTGAATGCAACGCTACTGAGAGTCAAGCCTTCATCTTCTCTAGAATGTCACAACTCAGTTCTGATGTCTGGTACCATCATTCCCACCAAGATCACTATATCGATGCTCGGTCTATCAGCAAATATATTCCATGAGACAATCGTGCCAGATTTATCGCAAAAGCTGCTTCATAAAAACTCGAACTTTTTCCGTGCGAGAATCTACTTCACACTTCAGCAGCTTCTCATGATCCACAGAGCACAGATACGGCCAGTTTCAGAGAACTTTTTCCACATTTGGGGTTCAGCACCCAAACATATGATGATGCTTTCAGATTCCATTCATAGATAAGTAGGTGACCTTTTAATTTTCTATAGATACTTCCACAGGAAGTGTTTCTCAGAAATCTCTCTCATCATTCCATCACAATCAATACCACTCAGACGAACTCGACAGACCCAGTCAGCACATTATCAGGTTGTTAACGTTGAAATAAGTTAGACCACACTTTCTCAGAGCTAGTTCGTTTATAGAACGGCATAGCTTTCGCATTCTTTGATATTGGAAGTG